CAAGCTGGTGACTCCATAATGAGTTATGAATATATATGACTGTATCTACTCGGTTACTTGTGTCTTTGAGTGGAAGTACAGTAACAATTTAACAAGCTTTGGTGCCTGCTGAGACCCACTGAGGTTCCATCAGCATGGCCTTGTGACTCGCTCTGTAAATGGCTGGAGAAGCTGAAAAGTAGACAGGCATATAAAGACTGCAGAACCGGTTTGAAATCCCAATTGTAGTGCTGTCCAGTGAGCGTCAGGTCAAACCATGAAGGCTATATCTAAAAGGAAAATTTTATTTAGTTATTAGGCTGTTTTTCTGATTTGCACAGAGGCAGGAAGCATTAAAATATCCTGAAACTGGCCTGCATCATCTAGGACACTACTCAAAAAAGGAAAGGCTGAAGAAGCTGGGTCTCTTTAGCTTGGGGAAGAGGAGACCAAAGGGTGACCTCATTAATGTTTATAAATATGTAAAGGGTGAGTGTCAGGAGGACGAAGCCAGGCTCTTCTCAGCGATGTCCAATGACAGGACAAGGGGCAATGGGTACAAGCTGGAACATAGGAGGTTCCACAAAAACATTAGGAAAAACTTTTTCACTGTGAGGGTGACGGAGCCCTGGCACAGGCTGCCCAGGGAAGTTGTGGAGTCTCCTTCTCTGGAGACGTTCAAAACCCGCCTGGACGCGTTCCTGTGTGACCTACTGTAGGTGATCCCGCTTTGGCAGGAGGGTTAGACTAGATGATCTTCCAAGGTCCCTTCCAACCCCTAACATTCTGCGATTCTGTAATTTCTTTTTTATGATGCAAGGCATGTGTGTGCCTGTTCTTTGACCATGTTGGATATTTACTCTTGGAGATACCAAGTTCTTTCAGGTGATGGTTATTGAATGCATTTCAAGTAATCACATATATATGCTATAAATAATCCTCAGCTGAAGTAAGAACAACAGATGTCAGTTCTATGTAGAATCCATCCAATATACCTATTGCTTTTTGACTCAGATGTAATTTACACTTGGACAAATGATGGGTAACATGAGAATATTTTAGGTTAACAAAGCTACGTATGAAAGGGTAGAAATTTTGCGTTCTTGTGTGATGTCATAAATCAAACATGTAATGATCTGCATCAATGTAACTTTTTTTGGTTCAAATTACCATACCACTCATGAATAATGAAGCACACATGAACTCCTATAAAAGACTTCATTGTTTTAACATATATCACTATATATATAATGCTAATTGAAAAAAAAATAGTATTTCCACTGAAACTACCTTTTTTTTCCCTTGCACTACGATTTAAAAACATCCAATGTGCATATTTTCCTCAAAGTATACTTTATCCTTGGTGAGCAGTGGCGCAATAAACATTTACTTTATGTTTGGCTAGGAAGTTTTATATAAAAAGTCTGCTCCATCAATGCGCAGGCAATTGGAGGATGTTCCTGAGAAAAAAAGTGGGACCCAGGTTCTCTCCTCATCTCAGTAGCAATTTGATGTGTGGGGTTTGAGTCAATCAACTACTGATTTCTGTACCTCCGCTTCCACAGCAGCATGCACTTTTCACACTTTGGAAATGGTTTTCAGTCTTCATAGTGTTTTTGTAAAACAGTTACCTGAATTGCTTCTCGCTACTCTCCTGATTACTTTTGTATCTGAGCTGTAAGTTACTCTCTGTGCCTGCGTAGAGGTGTAATGATTCAAGTTTCTAGAGACAGAAGACACTGAGGCTCTTGCCAAAGGTCACATGAGAAGGAGAAGGACTCCTGTGTACAAGTTTGTCACAAACCACTCACCATCCTCCTAGATATTCCTGACAGTTTTTAAATATAGTAATATATTTGATAACTATCTGTAATGGCTAGGACCATAGTTTTTTACTTTTCCTGGCAAGCAGGGTGCAATCTTTCATGCAGCTTGTGAATCCTGTTCCCATCATCGAAGCTTTTATTAGTTCAAGATCAAACTACTGGAGAGTGCTCGACATGGGGCTAATTCAGAACCATAAAAATAATCAAAGGCATACTTGCACTTAAAGTTATTAATAGAGACTTGAAGCTGCGTGATGGAATTAGTTTAGGATTTATTCAATTGTGACTAAACCAAAAGAAACAAAATAATTTATATGCATATATGGCTCATTATTGAAATTAACAGGCATCAGTCACTCTAGTAGCTTATTATGCAAGAGATGCCATAAAAGCCAATCTATCTTCTGCCTTAATTAGCCAAATACACATTTTATTCCATAATCCTTTTTCATTTGAAATAATGGTGACAGTTTAGAGATGAAAGAGGGAGATTATAATACTTGTGATTTTTTTCAGCTTAACGAAAGTCACTGAAACTGCATGGAAACTCCCTCATACTACTGTTAATGCTCACAGTTTCAGAGCTGATGTCTGAGATCTGCAAAGTATGGTATGGCAGTAAAAAGAAAGAAGTGCTCAAAAAGTTGGAAAATATTTTTTTCCCCTCTTGAGTAAAGGATACCAAGAAAGCTATTTTCAAAAAATAATAGTCATATCACTGTTTCTGAAGAAAGTGTCCTTCTGCCAGCCACACCATTATCTCAGCGGGGCTTTGCACTAGAAAAATGTCATTAGCTACCACACCAGGCTCCACAAGAGTTAGACATGTCATGTTTTAGAGGACAAGAATACAATAGTTGTGATATCCTCGTTGCACAGAGGAAATGGCAGTGTCTGATCTTAATGATATTTTAAACATTGGAAATGCCAGAGGACATAGTGAGCTGTAATTCTCAGAATAAGTGGTGACCCTGTGGTGTTGAATTTTCACCAAAAGGAAGAAACAGCACATACACAATCTAAAAAAAGTGTGATGAGCAAGATAAGCCAAAATTTTTGAGAGTGTGAGATTAAAAACACCCGAGGAAAAGAGCTGAGGAGAATGACTACCATGGGAATACGATGGCAGTGAACTTAGCTTGACCATTCCCTGTTTATCAGGGCTGCGATGCTAATGTGACTTCTGCATGGATGATCCCTTTTTAATGGGACTTTGCTTTAAACAGCTTTACTCGGCTGAATTTGGTATTCATCTCAACTGCAAAGATGACCCTTTCACAGAATCACAGAATGTTAGGGGTTGGAAGGCTTTTATTATCCTTTTCTAACATCTCAAGAGAGGAACTTCCCCAGTTTTTGAATCTACAGCATTGTGAATATGTTTCAATTATCAAAAGAGAGCACATTATCTCATCTTAGTGAATTAACCCTTTCCAGAAGACCACAGTGGCTGCAAGTCTAGCTCATTTCAAATGTAGGTTCACTTGTGTTTACATACTTACACTGTCACTTAAAATTATCTTTCTTTTTTCTTGCACATAATGTTGAAATCATTGTACCTTCGTTTTAGAAAAGGCCTATGGGGCAGTGAACTGTAGAAAGAAAACGCTCCTTTTACTAGATGAAGACCTGGAAGTATAACGTCTCGCCTTCTATTTGCTAAACATAAAAACTGAGAAAATTTGACCAATCATAGTGGCTGTGACTTTTAACCAGTTATTTGACTTAATAATAATCCGTCTTAAATTCCATAGTCTAATGCCCCATTTAATAATTTGTTTCTTATGGAAGTCCGATTTACAATTAAATCCAATTGAAAGAACAGTTGTTCTAGTCATTCAGAGCATTAAAAAAACATTAAAGAAGAAGGCAGAGAGAAGGAGAACAGAAATTAGATGGAGGATAAAGAAATATCTTTCTCATAGCTAAAAGCAAATGCTTAATCTTAGTTTGAGAAAACCAAAATAATTCATCAAACTGGTGTATTTCAATACCAAGCAGGCTTCAGGAAAATAATATAGTCAAGTCTTACTGAAATGTGACTTGACTAAAATTTGGATAATTACAGAATGTTTTGACAGTTTTCCAGTTACCTTTGGGAACTGGCCTCAGATGAATGACTACAAGGGTGAGAACAAATTCAAAATAAGTTTTATTTAAGGAACACGTTTCTTAAAAAATGGTAAAATAAACAAGAAACACCAGAAAGCAGGGGAGTAACACAGACACTACCAGCATGCTGGAGGGAAAAAATTGCTGAATTGTCCCTATCAAAGAAATGAATGAGGTTAACACATTGTTCTGAACCTTTTCAGTGCTGTGTTGAACTCCTGCTAAGGATCAACTTCACGACTCCAGTCAATAAGCTCTCAAATCCTCTCTTCAGGGGCATGTATCCAGGAAAGATGACTTGTGGGAACAAGATTTAAGTTGACATAAGCCTGTGTGGAAGGTGGTTTTGCTAAACTCACCACCTTGTCCATTGCACCAGTATTGACCAGCAGGAACTACAAGACAGTGCCTCACTGGTAAAATTTGTGAGCAGCGACCCCTGTTGCAGGTTATTGACAGGCAATCTTGCTTCTCAAACATCTGGATAACCCCAACACTTCTGTGATTCAGCACAAATTTTTTTTTCCAGTTTCTAAGCAGCTTATAAATCCTTTGCAAGGTTATGCATTTTCATTTTAGTATCCAAATCCTAGAGATGCTATACTCAGAATTGCCATCTTTGCTAAAGACTCCAGTCTGCTCCTTTAGGCTCTGTCAGCACTGGATTTGATTTTGTCTCCAGCAGTTACCAGGAAGATGGTTGCTATAGCTTCACTAATGAAAGGAGCAACCACATTTCCTTTTAGACAATGTAAGCAAGCATAAATATACAAATGCTTAAATATATTATAAATGGCATTAATAGTGTAAATGTGATATTACTGCAACAGGGAAAATAAGATTTTATCCCTTTTCAGTGGCTTGATATATATCAAACTTCCTGCCTCCTGCTCAGTGCTTAGCTTGAGCTGATACAACTCTTTTTGACAGATATTTAAAGTATTATTACTTCTACAGGATTTTCTTCCTCATCATGATGCAAGTCACATTTTTGTTGTATTTGGTCATGTTATCACATCTTCATGGTTACAGTTTGTCTCCACAATTTTGCTGACTCCTGTTAAGTCAATAAGGAGTGCATAGATGGAGGTAAATGAGAAAAGCCAGGAACGTAAGTTTTAATTTAAAAAAAAACCTCCTAAGTTGCACTGAACTTTGTCAGCTCTGGTTCACTTAGTTCAGCTGTAAGTGTGATTCTTTTCTGACAAGTGACTGTAAAAACTGTATCACACATTGTTGTGTTTGTGTTTCAGTGGCTTCATATCAATTTTGTTCAGGACACTGTTTTGTTTTTTTTTTAAACCACCAGACCTACCAATGAACCCGAGATTTGAAGGTCATGCTGTGTTCAGTCTCATGCAACACCAGCAATAATGACATTTCTGAGAAATGAAATCTCTCACTCACCTTCACAGCAAACCAAGTCAGTGCCTGGGGCAGACTGTGCTGTCAGATTTTCATGAAGCAGGAGTAAATCCATTCTACCGACAAGCTAAAATGAAATCTCCCAAACCAAACTTAGGCCAGGTCTATGAAATAGTCTTACAATATTAGCATGATGTATTGTATTAAGGTGGCAAAGTTTGGAGGGTCTGATCCTGCTAGCTCATCACAGGACAAGCTTCCATCACTGTAACAGAATATGGGAATTATCCTGCAAAGTGATTGCTATAACAATACTATCCTTGTATTACTATGGAAATGTAAGATGGTTTTACTTACCTGAATTATTCAGTACCGTTTAAATAGATCTTAAATTTTCTGGAAAATGCTGAGCAGTTTTTGCTAATGGCTGTGTAATACTAACTTGGCTTGGATAGTGGTATGTTTCTTTTTGGAGGTCCTGGAGGCACTGGTCCAAAATCAGCCAATGAATAAAATTAATGGAACATAATTTAAGGTAAACCTCCCCTTTGCAAGGTGTTAAATATGTTTGATATTTTAAGAGAAAAAATAAATACTACATGGTAGAATGACATTAGTTGGAAACACTGTCATTTTTCTTATCTGATTTTCGATCCTGACTTAGCACTCTACAAAATATTCTCCTTTTCTTCTCTCCTTTATTTTGCAGTTAACTTTGACCACTTTCAAATATTACGGGCTATTGGGAAAGGGAGTTTTGGAAAGGTAAGAATCAATTTATTTTTAACAGGTAAAACTCTAATAGAGAATTCTTTTGTGTATTTTTGGTTTTGTAGCCTTTTCCTTCTTAAAGATATTTCACTGTATGAACTGACTATGTCTATGCATTAAATTATTTCTATTGCAATTCATTCACTAAAATTAATTGAGTAAATATGAATATAATAATTGTGTCCTAAATGAGGATTAACAGAATTTAGAAATCAGTCTCCAAATCAAAAACAAACAAAAAAGTAGCAGCAGACAACTCTTTTAGACAGTCAGCTAGAGTGATCTTTTTCTTAAATCTATAGATTCATTCATGTCTTTAAAATAATTGCAGTATTTTAAAGGCAGTTTACATAGATTCAATATAGTTGGGACTATATAAACCAACATACACTGTAATTATAATCATTGAGTAAATGTTTGTTCAGTTCAACAGGCTTTTGCTGAAACACAGAAGATTAATGGTTTGTTTACACATGAGTAGATGACCTTTCTTTCCCATAATAAAGACTATAACAAGGTTTTGAATTTTAATATGGATAAATACAAAGCCATGCAACCAGAGAAAATCATATTATAAAAATATTAGAAACAGTTGTTTGTAGGAATATGTTTGAAGGTGAAATGTAACTTCAGTAACTGATCAAGCCAGAGCTTTCTAGATCTTGATTTAAATGACTGTTGAGTGTATGCCAGCTGAGTGCCAGTGAACTACTTCTGTAGTTATGCATTAAACCCCCCCAGGTAGGATTTTGCTGGCTCTTGGCCTTCCATGCAGAAAAATTACTTCTTTTTACAGAGGCCTGAAATCCTTCCCGTAGAACAGCATAGTCCTTTATGGCATGGTCTTTATTTGGTTTAAGAGAAGCCCTCTTTGAGGTCAATAGGAGAATATGCTGCTAGTGGAAAATGGCATGTAAGAATCCCTTAAAAATCAGGGCAGCTGGAGATTTATGACTGCTTATTATCACAATCCACTGATGCAATATCATTTTAAATTAAATAGAGGTTCAGGAGTACAAGTTCAGTACCACATAAGCAGTTAAAGCTAGATACAGACAAATCATGCTGGTCATCACAAAGATCATCTGCATTCCTCTTTCTTCAAAGCTTCCCCGTTCACACCTCTACTGTCTCTTCCCTTTCAAAAGGACCCTCACCTTTTCATGAAGGAAAATAAAACAAGCCTACATGCTATTTGAAGACTTCTTTGTTGATTTTTGATCCACTTTTCTCCATTAGCGTTCAGGAAACTGGTGAATATTTCTATGATATTTCTAGAAACATCTAATTTTCTTACAGATTCATATGGCTGCAGTGAACCTGCTTTGGGGATATGTATGAGTGAGAATAGAGTTTCAGAGCCTATGATTAATGCAAGAACGAACTCATGCATAAGTTCCTCTAAACTTAAATCCTTATTTTGCAGCTGTCAAATGCAACGGAAAAGTCCTTAGCATAACAGGCTCATTTTTCCAAAATGAATGTAAGCTTCTGAGCAATCATTTTGTTTTTCTTTCCACAGACAAGGAAAGAAAGAAAGAAAGAAATACATTAAAAATGACCGATTATACCATAGCCAAAAGCACAACATAGTAAATCAGTCACCGTTTCAAGTGTCTTCTCTGTGAGTCAGCCTTGCCTTTATCGTTTATTTAGAAGCCTCATTATTGGCAACTTTTCCTATTACTGTCCTTCTGGAACTACCTGGCAGCAGAAAATGTCAACAAATGATGCAAGACCTCTAATCTGTATTGAATCGCTGTTTACTCTTTGGGGTCTATTGTGCTCCAGCACCTTGCAACATGTAACACCGTGTTCGGTATCACCCCTTCCTTAAGCTATCTTCTTTCTTTATGGCTGCTTTGTGGCCTTTTTTGCTTTCTGAAAGCAGTAGGATGTTTTAAGACATGCTCTACTTTTTTATTTTATTGCTGTTAGTACAATTGCTCTCTCTTTCTCTCTCTCTCTCAATATTTCTTAAATTGCTGTGGTTGCTACAGCAACCTTAGGCCTCTGCAGGATATTGCTGCAGGAGGCATCTGATATGGCAGAGACTCCGTGCAGTTCAGCTCGCTCTTGTGCACAGATCTCAAGGTGGTCCTCAGCACCTCACCTCTTCCATCAGGGCCGACTGCTTCAGCAGAAATGTTCTATTGCTCCTAGCCAGCTTCAGAAAGCAGCTCCCTGCCTTTTCCTTTGATATTTTCCATTTCCATTCAACGTTTGCATTCAACAGCAACGTTTGCTGTTACAGGAATTCCTAGGCCACTTGGTAGCAAATGCTTTGTGTCTCAAGAGCTTGTCTTTTCTGGGAAGTGGCCACCTGTTTTAAGCCGCTGCCTCAGTACACGTTGTTTCTTAGGGACATGTCAAGAGCAGGTGCAGTCTTTTGTGCTCCATGGCATCTTCTCCAGAAAAAGAGAAGATACATCAAAGCAGTTTTGAGGAGGGTAGGAAATGGATGTAGGGAGAAGAGAAACAAGGAGCATGTTCTTGTTTCCAAAAAACAACCAGGCTCACTTCTACAATCTCCTGTCGGAGCTCAGGTTGCACTCTGGTAAGGGACAGATGAAGAAGTTGAGCTCTGAGTCTGTGTAGGACCGTTGCAGCCGCAGCTTCTGTGTAAGTTCTTTTGTTCAAACCAAATGACGTGCAAGCTACAGCAGAATGGCATGTGACCACTCACCAAATACTTGCCCCACTCCTGGGCTCATGTATACATTCCCAGTGTATGTATATGTACATCCAGACACTGGTACAGACCTGTGAGCTGCTGCGAGGGTGACATCGGTACACAACCGAGGTACGTTGCCAGCTTTAGGGACCTTGTTTTGCTGGGCAGGTGACTGTAGCTCTTTGCTTACACCTTCATGTCCTCATATGTAACAGGAAACATTTGATCACTTGATTTTTTTTTTTATTTGAAAACCTTTAAGCTAGTTATGCTTGGCATGTTCCAGCTATTAGTATTTCCAAGTACATTTGAAGTGGGTCAGGTCAGAAATTTTCTTCAACCAGGTTTTGCTCATATATTAAGTATTTGCTTTCTAAGTCAATTCAAAAGTAGATGGTTTAAAATACTCAAACCAAAAATGCTGAACACTGGTCTAAGTAGCTATTTTTTTTATGACATGTGATACTTTAAAAGTGCTCTCTCATTTAACCCGGCTAATAATTTCCATGTTGTTAGGTGTAGAGCCATCACTCTCATAAAACAAACTATTGCAAAAAATTATATATATGAAGATCATCCAATATGTGCAAAACTGACTAGAAGTAAGATAGAAGAATTATCGTTGTTCTTTACTGCACCAGTAACAATATAGTTTAGGCTTACTGCTGCAAAATAATTTGTATTCAACTGCAACAACTAGTTTTCAGGGATTCTTCAAGTTCTTTATTCATGGGAGCAGGTATATTGAACAATCTGACCTCCTTAAATTAAATTCAAATTATAATTTTAAGGTACAAACTCTTTTTACTATTTTTCTAAGATGCTGAGACACAGTTCTGATTAACTTGGTTGTATAAAACAGTGACTTCATCTGCTGAAGTAATTTAATTTATACTGGTGTAAAACAGATGGGAGCTCAGAATCACGTTTGCACTGATTGAGGGTTCTTAACTAAATAATATGCAGAGTATTTCAGAAAAAAAAAATGCTGCTATCTTAAAAGCAACATAATACACAACTGCAGAATGTTAACATTGTTTGACAGTAAAATCACTTATTTTTTTAGCTTGAGTTAATATGAAAGGATCCTAAACAGATGCCTGGTCCCTGCTCCAGCTGTCATGGTTTGCCCAGGGAAATCTGGGAATGAATCCTTCTATTTCAAGGAAATTCCCCAGCAGTGTAAAGCCAAACTTGTGACATCCATTCACCAGCCTCTTTGTATAAATCTTTCCAACTGTGCTTGTAGGATAAGACTACGAGCATTAGTTTTTCAGCATATGTGGGTAAGAACAGATAAGGTAGTGGTATTTCAGGCATGTGCTTTGAAGTAGAGCTGTAACTTCCCATACTGAGTGTGAAGCATATAGCTGATTTCTGTCTTGTAGTCCCCCATGCCTAGGCGAGCCTCTGTGGATGCAGTGCCACAGCCCCTCTGGTGGGCCATGGTTACTCAGGGGAGCTATAGGTGTCCCATGTAATCTACTGACCTGACGCGCTTGGTGCATAAGATCACAACAGAGGAGCACGGCTGAGATGTGCACTCCAGCTGCCAGGTCTCCACCTAAGAGTGACCTTATTCAGAGAAACTTTCCCTGACTGCAGTTTTACATCTCTCCTTTTTTATGACCTATCATGAAACTGTATCATGAGGTAGTTTGAGAAGTCTAAGTACTCATGGACCAAATTCAGATCGAAATATCTGTACAGAGACCAAGTGCTCCCACTCCCTGTTGTTCTCTCTGGACCAAGCAGGTGGCAGCCAGAAGGCTTTTGAAGTTAGAGGGAAACAGAATAAATGTGTGTTTTGCATCATCAGCCACCCTGATCTTTTTCTCTGGGAAGAGCTTCTGTGAAGCTACCTCTGACTGCTCAGCCAGCACAGTATTATGGCAGGACTAGGTGATCTTAGAGGTCTTTTCCAACCTTAAGGATTCTACGGTTCTACACAGCTTTCTGTAGCAAACCATTAGCAATTTCTGCCCCAGTTTTATTCAACATAACTCTCTTGCTTCACCTACCTGGTTTTGTAATAGCCCATAGAGTACTTTGTCACCCATAGCAGTCTTAATGGCTGTATGACCTATTAATCTGCAGATCAGACTCGATCTGTAGGTGCTCTGTTTCTTGCATGTGAAATCAGAGGAAGTCCAGGAAGGTACCTTAGAAACAGACCATAGCATACGTTGCCCCTGAAAAATGAAGTTTAGCTCTAGTCATGATCTATTGGTTTTCTTCGCTTGGTTCTGAGGGAAAGTGGCTCAAAATCACACTCTGGTCAAACTTCTTTTAACCTCGTAGTTTTGAAGGCAATTCATTGTTACCTTCTCCCAGATATAGAAGACACAAGCCTGTGAAAACACTCAACACATGTGAAAAAATCAACCAACCTCTTTAGAGAGGGAATATTTTTACAAGCAACTTCTAAAAACAAGAACCATATAACTCCAAAGAAAATTAATGGAGATTCATGTTACTTGCCTTTAAACATGTGCAACACTCATGCCTACATTCAAGCTAGTCATCTACAGTCTCTTTAGAAGGACTTACAAGAAACCCTCTCTAGAGATGGTTCCCTGGATCTATTTAGACCCATACCTTAGGTGGAGATGGATTCGTCTGTTTCTATCTGCTGTCTGTGAAGCTGGGTAGCATATGAGTACATGACGCTTATCTTTGGTTTGAAGCATCATCCATAGAGACAGCTGAAGCAGTGCCATCAGTTTGAGCAAGGCACTGTCTTGATTTTGGTAAATGATATTCACAGGAAAATTTAAAAAGGATGTTTTAGTAATGTGAACGTGCCAGGCTTCCATACTGATATGTGTAAATAAGGCAATTCTGCACAGACTTCCACAATAATGAATCATCACAGAATTTGTTTGTTGAGGTGCCAGAGCACCTGTTTGTCCCTATTTTAAAATGACTCCTTTGAAAAGAATTTAAACCATAAACAGAAAACCCTCACAATTTAAATATTTCCCATTAAGACTGCACATGTGAGGAGAGCTTGAGGGCTTTTCCTTTCTTTCCTGCAGCAGTGGAAAAGTTTCAGACCACTGCCTCTTGCTCAGAAGAGCTGGCGGCCAGCGGGTAGAAATGCCAGCATCTCCACTGCCATTCAGTGCTGTCATAGCAATGTCAGGCTTTCTTCACAATGACATCAATCTGGATGGAGCTTGTGTTTTCTGTTTTTTAGTAGGAAGTAGCCTTAGTATATTCATTTAAATCCTAGTGATTTTGAAACCATGCTAAAAGATGTGTGTAAATACACATTACTAGAAAAAGTTTAGTATTGTTCTGCTTTAAAGCTGTGTGATGAGCATGCTTCTACTGACAACAGAAGGTCTGTTTCAACTGTGCTGAATACCTTCGTCTTTATTGGCAGGTAAGAGAACTGAGTGCCTTCTGGAGTCACAGCCATGTTTCAAAACCTGTTTACATTACATATTTAGGTGCTGTATATGATCCTAGTTTGTCACATAGGTCAAACCTGTAACTCCCCGTGGAGTAAAACTCCATTCTTCTGGTGGTCTCACTAATGAACAGTTCAGTAGCAAGTCTCTTTATGTAATGGAATAGGAGACTTCTGCAAAAAACCCCACCTCAGTTGTGGCCACCTTTTGGATGAAAATCATGCTGTGAATTCATCTAAATGAATCAACTTCTGGACTTAGATTCCTTTTATTATCCATAAATATTGTAGTCTATAATGTGATTCATTAAATTGATATGCTCACATAATCTGAGATAGGATGTCAGGAATTGCCCTTGCAAATTCTTCTTACAGTTTTAAGAACCTGTGGAAGCTTGAACAATTTATTTCAATGCCTCCATTTCAGTTCAACCCCACCTGCTACCTCTTCTTCCCCCAAAAGACCAATCCCAGTTTTCCATTATTCCATCCATTATTCATCTTAGACTCTTTCCATGTAAGTGTGAACCTTTAGTAATCTTAAGGGCATCACCAATATTCAGACTCTCTGTAAAAGCCTGAGGAGGAAAATTAAACAAAACTTTGTTACTCACCGTTGTGCAACGTTGATAGGCTCAAGACAAAATGCTGCTATTCATGTTTTCTGTAATTAGCAGAACAGCTCCTGGTATTAGGAGAGGTAATTAGAAACTCTGCTTAATCATACCTTATCATTATAGGTTAAAAGTATTCTGTTTTCTGCCCTCTTTGGAGTAGATTTGAGCTCAAGGACAAACTTTAGAGAAATAGAATTGAAGAGAAATGAATGTGGTTTGTTTTCACTGGCCCACTTCATCTTGGAGGGGCTGGAAAAAGGTAGAGAAAGTAAAATATGCAGATAGTATGCTCCTAGAGACTTTCCTCTGGATTTAAGAAATAAGTGACTAGACAGTAGGTCTGTCTAGAGATCTCACCTTGGTGCTAGTGTTTTATCACCTGGTCCAGAATCCAGATTACACCTTGTTAAACTCAGAAGATTCAGCTCTAGGAAGTTATCTTAGATTCTCCAGACCACTTCTGAACTTTGAGCACTTAAGTTCCTTGACATACAACTCAAACCCAAAAGATTTACTTTTAAATGATACCATGTTTTTATGTGATCTCTGAGCACTTATTTGATGTGTCTACAATGTATGTGTAAGCTATAATTTTATATGTGTATAATATAGGAGTGTACATGTGTGTATGTACATGAATAACAAAATAATAGTGCCTACACCAAGTGAAGCCAGAATACTCTTGAATTTAGACACTACAGAGTCATGCTATCTAAAACAGATGCTTCCAGTATATAGTCTGTATATGTCCTGATGATAAAAATTCTGATTTGAGCCTATGACTGTATCGTTAATAAAAATGTTGCATCAAAATAATATTTTCACCTTATGTTCTCTTGGCTGTGAAGACTCACTTTAAAAAGTCTTGATCAAATAGGAGGAAAAACATTTCAAGACAAAAGTCTACGAGAACATAGTTATGCTCTGTGTGTTTATGTAGGTCTGTTACGGAAATGAGATTTACACCAGCTTTAGGGGTTAGACACAGAACAATCTTACATTTTGGTGTTTCCAGAAATCATATTTAAAATGATGATTCTTGGATGTGGTACTGATGACACTCTCCAACATCCTTCAAAAGGTAAACTACCATGACAAGAAATGATCTAAGCCTTTCATGGGAGTTCTCTTGACTGAGATTTTCTTCCTGAATTTACAAAATTATTTTACTTTTGTCAAGAAATGAAAACAAAGTTAAGGCAAAGAAATTTACTGCCAGAGACTAAATCATTGTAATAGTCTCTTGTGACTTCAAAAATATTATGATGAATCTCTCTATGAAAATTCTTTTTCTTTTCAATAATAATTAAGGGAGCATAATTCTGACATTTAGATGAAATACTGGGCATTGTGAATGCAGGCTGTGTTTATGATGCAATAATCAAGACATGTGTATTGACTTGTGGGAATGAGGACAATGATTGTGCATTTTCCTAGGCAGGAAGCAGTAATTTCTATGAAAAATCAGACAGCATGTGATTCAAGCAATTGGATTGTATTCCTCCCAGCTTTATCATGTAACTTCTGAAAGTCATGACAATTTTCTGGGTCCTCATTTCTTCTTATGCAGGGATGGGGAGTCCTTTTTATAATTTATTAATTATAGTCTATTAGAAAGAATCCTGCATAGCTGTGATGTGAAAATTCTGAAGGTGTTCCTAGGTTGTAGTACTCAGATCTGGATTATTGAAATATCCTAAGAGGCTCCTTTTTTTCAAAGTCACAACTGCATTTCCTTTCTGTAGGTGTTAAACTTTTTCTTTTACTTTGCTGTCAATTAGGTGTGCATTGTACAGAAGAGAGATACCAAGAAAATGTACGCCATGAAATATATGAATAAACAGAAATGCATTGAGAGAGATGAAGTTCGAAATGTTTTTCGGGAGCTACAGATAATGCAAGGCTTGGAGCATCCCTTCCTGGTCAATCTGTGGTAAGCAAACCTTTAAGATTCTATTAAGGTATTTAGGTTTTGTAGAGGATTTTATTTTTTCATTAATATTTTAAAGGTGCCCTTTTGCATTGGAATATTTAAAAGTTGCATTCACCTTTCCATTTCTGGTTTGATTTCTCTCCAGATTTTTACAGAAGTGTGTGGAAATGTGTTGTTCTGTCCAGTTTCGTAATTTATTTTTTACATTGCTCAGATTAAACAACTGTTTTAAGACTGTGGAATATCAGACCTAACCATTCAATTATTTTTTTGTTGTTGATTCAGAGAAAATTCAAGACTTAATTACTTTTAAAATATATCTGACATAGAACAACAGAAAACTATCTTTTTGTCACCTGGAATTTCTCTGTGCTAGCCACTGAACACCTCAGTCACATATGAGTGTGAGAAAACATTGGTCGTGTAACAACTAGCTTCAACTACACCACCAATTTAAAGTATTTGCTGGCTTTTCTGTAGTGATAGTAGTAATGAGATGCAGACTTTTCCTCCCTTATCTAAAAATTATCTCTATCATTCAAAAAACAGAAGACATAAGCCATTATGGTATGAAAATTGCTCCATTTGTGAATAGCTTGATTGGCTGCAGAGGGTCCAAGTGCAAACAGATCTTCTGTTTTGTGAGTGTTAGCTATCTTGGTAGAGATTGGTATCTAACCTACAGTCTTTTGTTCATCCTTTAGCTCACTCTTGACCTGTAGAGATGAAAAAATTCTTGTTGCCAGATTAGCACCTTTCATGAATTAAAAGCCAAATTGTCTTCTGGCTTGAGGGAACACAGCTGTAGCATAATTGCACTCACTTATACCAGCTAACTATTTGATCACAAAATTCATTAAAAAGGGACCTAATCATAAATATATGTATGTCTCAAGTGCTCTACAATTGATATGAATGATCATACTTGAGCTAACCTAATATCCTGTTGGAGGCTTAAAGAAAAAGACTGTAATACAAAATTTTCCTGATATGTTTTCCAAGGTTCCAGCAATCTGTACTCTGGGGATTTCTTCACCAGCGATGTGTATCTCTGTGCTTAAGAGCCTGTGGAGTTTTCTGTCATGCATTTGTCTAATCTCTTCTGAACTCACACAAACTGTCATTCTTTCTCAAGAGGAGGCAAAGATTTCCACTGTATAACTAGACACTGTGCAGAAGCAGTCACGGGTTAATGTGATCTATGAGATATTTCTGTAAACATAACATTGCTGAAGGACTAAAGATCAAAAATTTATTGTGAAACAAAAAGCAGACTAGATTCCAATTACCAAAGTATAATCAGCTATATAATTATTCTTTCTCGCTTTCTTTTTTCATGCCAACGACTAAGCCTAAAATAAGCAATACCTTAAAATATGTTGGCTGTGACAATGATTTTTATTGTAAATAATTAATTTATTATTCTTGTATTTCAGTGATACTATCACAAGATCTCAAGACTCAAATGTCACACTATATGTCTGTGTGAAAAATGTAGAAAATTAAAGAGAACTCTAGAACTATAGATTTAACAAAACACTTCAGGCAAAAAGGACACTATTCAAGACACTCCGGTGCACTACCAATGTTCTATATTCAACGCCTCTAACAATGGTTATAGCTGACCAGTCTGTCTAGGATGGGGCCTGAAATTTATTGCTTGCACTAAAGCCTGTGACCCAGCTGAGTAGCTAACAGTCTGGTCTCTCTGTCACCAGGGTTAGTTTTCAGGTCTACAGCATGAGACAGAAGAACATTCAGACCTAAAACCAGTGCCCACATTCAGGGATAGTTCTGTGAAGTTAGGTTATATGTTTGTGCAACCATTCAATCCCACTGCCTTAGAATCTCAGTACTTTGCAGCCTGAAATGTCCATGTAGACAACATATTTTAGTTCTCCTTAGGGCCAAAACACGAACATGTGAAGGTACACATAAGCTCATACGTGAAACAGCATCCAGGAACATTCCTAATGCTGCCTAATGCAGCTGGGTTGGCCCTTGGCACATGCCTGTCCTACATGAATCAGCCCCTTCTCAGACAGCTCCTGGGGTTGTTCCAGCGTCACAGTGTCCCACAGATCAATGTGTTGTGGCAAGTTCTCTTCAGCATCAAGGACTTCCTAGATGAGGCACGAGTTGCTCACTGCCAGCTGGCCTCAGTGCTGGGAAATGCTCCCCAGCATGTTTCACCTACTACAACAACCGAAGTGGCTAAATGAGAGTAGAAGATCCTGCTCTAGGGGGCTCAGCCCTTTCTGCTGAAGGTGGGCAACTGTGTAGTCAAACCCTGGATATATGAGACTCTACTGAAATTCAGGGAGTTGAACATATATAATTAAAGCTGTAGAAAAAAATCCAAAAATAATTTCATTCACACTTAGTATTTTTGCCTGAAGTGTTCACCTCAAACATTACACATTAAAATGTCTGGTGAGTCGAAGTCCTGACTCCAGAGTGAGCTACTGAACCATTGGAGCACCTATATTTCACCCTGGACAGCACAGCAAAGGAAAGTCTTGAACCTGAAATAGCCTACCCCAAATAACTCATTCTTGGTATGAGGGCCGTAATATGTTTCTATAATTAGCTTTGCACAATCCTGAATGAATTTAAAATAGATTCTGATATATTTCTGCAGTGTCTATGACTGCAGACTGCAGGAGCATGTTTAAAACTTCTGAATGTTCTATCTCAACTTTTGACTGAATTTCAAGACATTCTACACTTTATCTTCAAATAATGACTTCTAGTTTTGAACTATAGGGTCAGAACACAAAAATTACAGGTGACCCATGGATAACGGTCAAATCTGTTCTATTAAAACTAAGCCAAATTAATCTTTTAACATATTACTTACATATCATTTATTTAAATATTGAAACATTTTATTTATTTACCATCATGTAAAAAGGAACACTGCAAATATAAATGGAATATTCCTTAAATGTCTTTGATGTGTTCCCAGCAATAATCTTTTAAAATAACAGCATTTTCCTTGATTGTTGGTGAATTAGTAGCCTGTTTATTGTATTTTTATTTGCAGTTTAGACGTAATGATAATTTGCATCAAATACATTTACAATGTAGCTGTAATTTACCTTAGATGATTAACAGGAATCCATGAGATTTCCTCTTACGAGTCAATTCCTGGTACACTCATGGAAAGAAACAGTTGAAACTGCATTTCACAGAATTACAGAATCACAGAATGTCAGGGGTTGGAAGGGACCTCAAAAGATCATCTAGTCCAGCCCCCCTGCCAGAGCAGGATCACCTACGGTAGGTCACACAGGAACGCATCCAGGCAGGTTTTGAATGTCTCCAAAGAAGGAGACTCCACACCCTCCCTGGGCAGCCTGTGCCAGGGCTCTGTCACCCTCACAGTGAATAAGTTGTTCCTAATATTTTTTGTGGAACCTCCTATGCTCCAGCTTGTGCCCATTGCCCCTTGTCCTCTCATTAGACGTCGCTGAGAAGACCCTGGCTCTGTCCTCCTGACACTCCCTTGACATATTTATAAACATTTAAGAGGTCACTCCTCAGTTTCATCTTCTCCAAGCTAAAGAGACCCAGCTCCTTCAGCCTTTCCTCATAAGGGAGATGTTCCACTCCCATCATCATCTTTGTGGCTCTGCACTGGACTCTCTCCAGGAGTTCCCTGTCTCTCTTGAGCTGAGGGGCCCAGGACTGGACACAATATTCCAGATGTAATTTCTTCTATAGTATTTGCAGCTAGATTTGTGTTTCATTTTTTTGAGTTAGTTTTTTTCCTCTTCATTTTGTTAATTGCATTGTAAATGTACAATGGGCTGTAACAGGAGCTACTAACTCTTTTTTGTTTCACAAACTGGAATATTAATTTAATAAGGAATAGTTATGTCATGGTATATGAGCAATAACACAGCTGCAGTTCATGTAAATGTTGGGTTCCTTTTGACCAGGCTGGTTTGGACTAGTCCATGTTTCTAGGCTCTATCACACTCTTTAAGGATGTATGTCAGTTTTCAGGAATCCTGCCTAAGGTAAGATTTTGGTGACTGAAACTCAGACTTTGGCTGAGGAACTGTAGTAATGTGTGTTTCCACATAACACGTTGTGGCTTGTAGTTAAACAACTGTGTACTCTGTGAAAAACTGGGGTTCTGGCTACCCACACTACGGGGAGCCTAGAGCTCATGTCTTCTGCTTTCCAGATGAGCTGACTACTTATCTACTACGCAAAATGTGACGATAGTGCCAACAGCGTTTTTGATATAAATGAATCAATCTTATTTGCCCCTTGCAATCTCAGTGAAAAGTAATCAGCCAGCTGGACCAGTCTGCATGACACTTGAGAAATCTTCAGAAAAACCTACATTTCTCCACTGATCTGAAAGGGAAATGATGTACTTATTTTGGTTGGACAGTTCCTTTCCCTGGATTCCTCCTGCCCCTAATACCCAGTTATACCAAGCAAGATTTAAGCTTGAGTAGGTAGCCTGGATCTGATCTGCTGTTTTTTTTGTTTTTTTGTTTTTTTTGTCTGGAAGCAATATAAATGATTATAAAATTAGGGAATTTTATTATCAAAATACTTGCATTTTTTTTCCAGAGTATTATTTCCTGTAAGCCCTTCAGTGCCATCAATCTTTTTTTTTTTTTTTGCTTTTGGATGAATTGAAATGATGTCTTATTTCTTTTAATTCAAAATGTCAAATCCCAAATCCATATTGAAAAGGATATTTGGAGGAAATTCCACTCATGACAAACTTTTAATGAGTTTAGGGGACTGTGCCTGAACAGAACTGCTGATTTTCAAATGATAATCATCTGGACCTTCAAGATATATAATAAAATTAATATAGTGGTTAATGTCCCAATGATTCCTTGAACCAGAGGTAATACTAACCAGGTACATTACTCTTTCTTTGGGGAATTACATTATCAAAGAGAAAAGTTGACAACTCAAAAAAAATCCATGAAGATTGTAAAGACCTCTAGGTACACAAAAAAAAGTAATGGT